CAGTACGGGCGCGACACTGAGGGTTGCGATCCGTTGCCGGACACGAAAAAAAAAGACAAAAGAAAAGAAAAAATCTGAATAGATCTGTAACAAATAAAGAAACTGAATTACTAATTTAAAAATTTTTCACACAGAAAATCTCAGCCCCAGATGACTTCACTGGTGAAATACCAAACATTTAAAGAAGAATAATGCCATTACCTTGTAAAGTCTTCAGAAAATAGAGAAGGGAACACTTCCCAACTTACCCCATGAGGCCAGTATTACCCTGATATAAAAGCCAGACAAAAAGGACACAAGAAAACTACAGACCAATATCTCTAATGAATGTAGATGCAAAACTATTAGCAAGCTGACTCCAGAAACAGAAATAGGATTACACCCCATGACAAAGTGAGATTTATCCCCAAAACACATGGTTACTTTAACACCCGAAAGTCAGTTAATATATTAATAGAGCACAGGACACTAGTGATCATCTTAATAGATGTAGAAAAAACAGTTGACAAAATTCAACATTCATGATAATAACACTCAACAAACTAGGCATAGAAGGAAACTTTCTCAGCCTAGAAAGGGCATCTGTGAAAAACCCACAGCTAACTCGTAGTTAATGATTAAAGACCGAAAGCTTTCCCTTTAGGATCGGGAAAAAGACGAGGATGCCTACTCTTGCGGCTTCTATTCAGCATTGTATTGGAGGTTCCAGCAAGGACAGCTGGGCAGGGAAGGAAAAAAAANAAAAAAAAGCACCCAGATTGGAAAGGAAGAAGTGAAACTCTCTCTTTGCAGATGACATGATCTTGCATACATATATGAAATGTCAGAGCTAACGAACGAGATCAGCGAGGTTGCAGGATACATGATCAGTACACAAAATCAATTTTATTTCTACACAGTAATGATGAAAACTAAATTAATAAATATAACAGAGCATTAAAAAGAATGACTTAGAAGGGCCAGCCCGTGTCTCACTTGGGAGAGCGTGGTGCTGACAACACCAAGTCAAGGGTTAAGATCCCCTTACCAGTCATCTTTTTTTTTAAAAAAAGAATGACTTAGAAATAAGGAAGTGCAAGATTTGTACTGAAAACTTTAAAACATCACTGAAAGATATTAGTACCTAAGTAAATGGAAAGACAGCCGAATGACTTAGAAATAAGGAAGTGCAAGATTAGTACTGAAAACTTTAAAACATCACTGAAAGATATTAGTACCTAAGTAAATGGAAAGACAGCCTGTTTCCATGGGCTGGAAAAGTTAATGCTGTTAAGATAGCATTACTCCCCAAAGTGACCTACACATTCAGTGCAATCTTCATCAGAGTCTCAGCTGGATTTTTGCAAACATTGACAAGCTGATCCTAAGATTGATAGGGAAATGCAAGGACCCAGAATGGCAAAAAAATTTTCAGAAAAAAACTTACTATAAAGAGACAGTAATTGAGTCTGTGTAGTGCTGACATAAGGGCCAATGTATAGATTGATAGAGCAGAATTGAGCGAGGCATAGTTTCATACTTTTATGGTCAGTTGATTTTCGGCAAAGTTACCATGATCATTCAATGGGGAAAATAGCGTTTTCCACAAATGGTGCTGGGACAATGATATCCACACACAGAAGAGTAAGGGTGGACTCATACCACAGACAGCAGTGAGCTTAAAATGTGTCAGAGATCTCAATGGAAGAGCTAAAACCATAAAACTCCTAGAAGGAAACAGGTAAATCTGCCTGACATTGGATTAAGCAGTTTCTTGGATATGACACCCAAAACTCATTCAGCAAAAGAAAAAAAAAAAAAAGAGATCAATTGGCCTTCATCAAATTTAGAAACTGTTATGTGTCAGAGACCATGATCAAAACAATGAAAAGACAACCCACAGAATGGGGGGAATTATTTGTGAGTCATATATCTGATAAGAGTCTAGTATTTAGAATAGATAAAGGACTCATACATCTCAACAATAAAAAGACAGTCCATTTAGAAAACGGACAAAGCATTTCAATTGACATTTCCTCAAAGAAGGTACACAGATGGCCCATAGCAGGTGAGAGGAGCTCCCCTTGGTTATTCCACCAGGGAAATGCCTGACAGGTGAGGCTCCCTCGCTGCTCTCCCAGATCATGGCTGTGCAGGTCACGTAGGTGTTTGCGTGGCTGGCACCCTTGAGAGCCTGCAGCCTGTACTTGCTGCTGCCTGTTTTGTCACTGATTACATTACTATTTCTGTACTTCTTTTGCCCCTAACAATGGTAAGCTACTCCAAATAAGTAGACTTCAAAAGTGATTACTTTTTATGTCAGTGGCACCCAGGTAGTGCCCCTTTCCTGGCCCAATTATGACTTCCTGGGGCAGAAAGGCTTAGGCAGAAAGGCTCATCCTGGCTGGCCCAGCTTCCTAGTAAAATGAGCATTGAAGAAAATTGCCTGATGATGGAAGTAGGGTGGTTGGATCTAGTCGAGCTTGTGTCTGTGTGTGTCCTCAGCCACCCTGACATGCAGGCCGTGGTGGCATGGCTCTCCAGGAACCTGTGCCTTCTGTGCGAACAGATAGAAACATCCTGCCAGTACACTGACATCGCCAGGACTATGCTTGCTGGTATGTTCANTCTTTTTTTTAAAAAAAAGAATGACTTAGAAATAAGGAAGTGCAAGATTTGTACTGAAAACTTTAAAACATCACTGAAAGATATTAGTACCTAAGTAAATGGAAAGACAGCCTGTTTCCATGGGCTGGAAAAGTTAATGCTGTTAAGATAGCATTACTCCCCAAAGTGACCTACACATTCAGTGCAATCTTCATCAGAGTCTCAGCTGGATTTTTGCAAACATTGACAAGCTGATCCTAAGATTGATAGGGAAATGCAAGGACCCAGAATGGCAAAAAAATTTTCAGAAAAAAACTTACTATAAAGAGACAGTAATTGAGTCTGTGTAGTGCTGACATAAGGGCCAATGTATAGATTGATAGAGCAGAATTGAGCGAGGCATAGTTTCATACTTTTATGGTCAGTTGATTTTCGGCAAAGTTACCATGATCATTCAATGGGGAAAATAGCGTTTTCCACAAATGGTGCTGGGACAATGATATCCACACACAGAAGAGTAAGGGTGGACTCATACCACAGACAGCAGTGAGCTTAAAATGTGTCAGAGATCTCAATGGAAGAGCTAAAACCATAAAACTCCTAGAAGGAAACAGGTAAATCTGCCTGACATTGGATTAAGCAGTTTCTTGGATATGACACCCAAAACTCATTCAGCAAAAGAAAAAAAAAAAAAAGAGATCAATTGGCCTTCATCAAATTTAGAAACTGTTATGTGTCAGAGACCATGATCAAAACAATGAAAAGACAACCCACAGAATGGGGGGAATTATTTGTGAGTCATATATCTGATAAGAGTCTAGTATTTAGAATAGATAAAGGACTCATACATCTCAACAATAAAAAGACAGTCCATTTAGAAAACGGACAAAGCATTTCAATTGACATTTCCTCAAAGAAGGTACACAGATGGCCCATAGCAGGTGAGAGGAGCTCCCCTTGGTTATTCCACCAGGGAAATGCCTGACAGGTGAGGCTCCCTCGCTGCTCTCCCAGATCATGGCTGTGCAGGTCACGTAGGTGTTTGCGTGGCTGGCACCCTTGAGAGCCTGCAGCCTGTACTTGCTGCTGCCTGTTTTGTCACTGATTACATTACTATTTCTGTACTTCTTTTGCCCCTAACAATGGTAAGCTACTCCAAATAAGTAGACTTCAAAAGTGATTACTTTTTATGTCAGTGGCACCCAGGTAGTGCCCCTTTCCTGGCCCAATTATGACTTCCTGGGGCAGAAAGGCTTAGGCAGAAAGGCTCATCCTGGCTGGCCCAGCTTCCTAGTAAAATGAGCATTGAAGAAAATTGCCTGATGATGGAAGTAGGGTGGTTGGATCTAGTCGAGCTTGTGTCTGTGTGTGTCCTCAGCCACCCTGACATGCAGGCCGTGGTGGCATGGCTCTCCAGGAACCTGTGCCTTCTGTGCGAACAGATAGAAACATCCTGCCAGTACACTGACATCGCCAGGACTATGCTTGCTGGTATGTTCATGGCAAGAGATGGGTTCTTGGGTAAAATTTATTTTGTTCAGTGGGAATGCCTCTTGTTGTGAAGATCTGTGGCAAACAACAGTCTCCCCAGACCCATGGCCATGGCAGTCCCCCTGTGACATAGCTCAGTCTGAATCTGTCGTCCTGGGTTGGCACTTAACTCAAATGGTGTGGAAATTCTGGTAGGTCAGCCCACTTACTGGGTGCAGGTGTCACCATACCCTTTCCATGGAGTGATCCAGCCCCATCTCTCCAAGCCAGCAGACCCTATGTTTGCAGTAATCCCTCAAGGGCAACACCTGCACCCAACAGTTAGATGGGAAGTGGAATGTTCTGCACAGGTAGCTTGTGGGTTTGTTCCTTTACAAAAAGCATATTCCTTCTTAAAACCTTCTTGGTGGCATGAGCTGTTTAAGATTTCTAAAGTCCTGCAGTCTGGTTCCAGATAGGTTAAGTTGCAGATGAGACAGAAAATCTTTCAAATCTGTCTTCTTGCTTCTAATCTTTTAAAAAGATGTATTTCCTGCCCCATTCCTTAGAATGTGATGTTCGTGTTGGAGAGACAATGCATAAGACATCCCATGGGAACTCATTTTTGTTTGTTTTATTTATTTTTTATTTTATTTTGGGGTTTTTTTGGTGGCTGGCCGATAAGGAGACCCTGACCCGTGACCTTGGTGTTAACAAGGCTGCTCTGTAACCAGCTGAGCCATTGGCCAGCCCATTGTTTGTTTTAAGAGAAAAAAATTCATAATGTAAACTTGATTTATTGAAAGTATTTCCCTCTCAAATGGAATGGCAAGAAGAAAAGTCTGGTCCAGTGAGGGTTTTCGTTGCTTGCTGTAGTCAGGTGGGCAGTGAGCTCTTCAGGGCTTCCCTTAGGCTTAGGAGCAGAGGGTCCGGGCAGCTCCACGTGGGCCTGGTTAACCCTCGAAACCATACGCATATCCACCTTCTGAAGTGGGTGGTCTGTGTGACTCTGCTGTTTGGAGACCATAATGTATATAACTACTTTGGTTTTGTGGTTTTTCAGATTTTGTGCGAATGCTTGTTTTGAGTGGATTTCAGAAAGATTCAGATCTGCGAAGAACTGTGGAGCCTGAAAGGATGCCCCAGGTAGGAGGTAAAGTAGAATGAAGAACCAGGAGAATTGGCCTCCTTATAAGAAAGCTGCAGCCTGGACAGCTGCCCCGTCCCGAGTTTTTAGTCCCTTTTGGAAGTTCCTGGGCCAGTGGCTGACATTTTGCCCCACATTACGATTTGTAATATTTTTGCGAGGAAATCTACTTTGTGGGTTTTGTGAGCTGCGCCAAGTAGTATCACTCTTAAGTCCAGTAGGTGTGAGGGAATGGAAGTTAGCAGTGATACTTTCTTAGCCCCTGTGTTCTGGTTTCCAAGGGTCTTGAGGGTGATGGTCTGTAGTGCCATAGCCCAGAACCAGGCCTGTGCTTTCTGGACAAGAGGGCGAGGGAGAGCTCTGCCAAGGGGCATGCCAAGCAGATTCAGCAAAGCTCCTGAGCCCTCCCTGCAGAAACCACAGGCTGTGTGAGGTGGGGCTGGCCAGGGGGTGGCCAAGTCCCCAGCACAAAGCTTCAGGCCATGCTGAGAGGCAGTTGTGGGTTCTCACTGTGGATACTTCCAGAAGGTTCTGCATTTCCACTGGGTCTGGGTCTCCTCAGTATTGTAATAATTTCTAGGCCTAAAAGGAAATCTTAAACGTGGACCTCTTTCTAAAGTCAATTTCTTATTTTAACTTTAGAATAACAAGTAATTCTCTTGTGACTGCTTGAAAATTGTGACGTGGTGGTCATCATGAGTGTTCCGTTTTGACAGGTCGCCCTTGGTGTGCTGCAGAGAATGCTGATCTGTGAGTTGATTGCCCTATGGGCTGATTGACAGTGACTTGATTTGCTAATAAGCTATTCTGACAGTTTTCTGTCTTCCCATTTTAAGAATTTCACCTTGCTGTGGACTCCACTGTGTGGAGTCTTGATATTAGGAGCCCCCCTTTTTTGGTTGTAATTTGGTATGAACTTACTCTCTACTTCTTATTCTGGCTATCAATTCCCAGTGGCTTCATATTCCCAGAGGTGTAAAGTGACACCAGTTTAATCTGTGGTTAATAGGAAGTATTTTGTTGTCACTTATTTTGACGAATTTTAGAGGCTTACAGACTTAGTAGCACTGAAGGCACTTAGATGTCTTGGTGGACATGGTGCCGTGAGGGGGGGATTGGGGAGGCTTCTGGAGGGCTGTGACTTAGAAACTGAGTCATTGTTTTTGGTGGCCTGTCTTGATGTGCTATTTCCTGTTCCCGACTGTTGTCAGTTGCGCTTGATGCTTTGGCTGCCGGCGTGCAGGAGGAGTCCTCGTCACACAAGGCAGCACAGTGCTGGTACGTCCCTGGGTGTGCACAGGGAGGCTGTTCCTGCTAAGTCAGAAGTCTAAGATAATTTAAACACTCCCGAGTGTCAACAGCTGACTCCTGAGCACACTTCCTCTGCATTTGTGATAACATCAGGAGGGGGTGACAGTTGGAAGGCACTGACCAGCCTTCTCCCTTGGAAGATGAGGCAGGAAGCCGGGCCCCTCTTACTGTGGGCTCATGTTCTGCCTCTGGAATTCCTGCACTCCTGTCTTACGGAATGGGACTCCTGAGAGTTGTTGCCAACCCTTCTTCCCACCTACTGTGTCCGCCCCTCCCCACCCCCCCACTGCCCTGGGCCTTCTCACCTGAGTCTGTCCTTCCCTGTTGCTTCCCTCTTAGACCCCTCACCATGGGGCTTTCCAGAATAACATTGTCATTCATCTCCGCCTGCTTTCCAGGGTCCTGCTCAGATTCACCAGAAGTCAGTTTTGCTGCAGTAACCTCTCTGTGCATGGTTCTGCAGAGATGCATGTTGACACACTTGAGGATGGGAGGAGGGGCCTTGGAGCTGGTGGAAGGTGGAGTGTCTTAGTCGGGGGAGGTGGGGTGGTTGAGGTTTACTTCAAACTGATGTGGGTAGGGGGAGCTTGAAGTTTGAGTCTTGAGAAACACGAAAATTCCCCACCATTTCTAGGCCTTCTCAATCTTTATTTTCTTTTTTTGCTCCTGATATCCTGTACCCACAGTTACTTTAATAGTACTCAGGAAAATGTACTGTATAATTCAGTACTCATTAAAAGTGCATAAAACGCTGAATTATTCTCTAAATGTTTGTGTGTGCGTATTAGTTAGCTCAGGCTGCCATAAAAGATTCTGTAGACTGTGGCTTCAACCACTGACATTTTCTCACAGTTCTGGAGGCTGGAAATCCAAGATCAGGGAGCCAGCCAGCATGGTTGAGTTCTGGTGTGGGCCCTCTTCCTGGCTTGCAGACCATGCCTGTGTCTGTGTCCTCCCATGATGGAGTGAGAAAAAAAGCTGTCTGGTATCTCTTCTTGTAAGGGCACTAATCCCATCATGAGGCCCCACCCTCATAACCTCATCTGAACATAATCACCTCCAAAAGGCCCCACCTACAAATACCATTACACTGGGAGTTAGGGCTTCAATACGTGAATTTTGTAGGGACACAATTCAGTCTGTAACAGAGTGCTTGTTTTCATATTCTGTGTGAATAGATTCCTCAAACGGATGTCCAGAGAGTTGGAGAACAATTGCTGGTCTATCTCTTTTTTAATTGGTTGCCAATACTTTGAACTCATGCATCGTCTAACAATCTGGGTGGCCATCCTCCCTCACACACTGGGAGAGGGAGTGTTCCCAAAGCCCTGCCCTGTGAGGAAGTACAGCGTCCCCCACCCACCCGTGTCCCCTTGTTCTCCCTCCTGCCCATGGTGTTGCGTGAGCACCTGAGTTTTCACAGAGCCAACGTCTCACTGCCAGGTGTGCAGGTGTTCATTTAACTGCTAGGACCATTGATTTTCTCACCTGGGGAATTGGGATGTATAGGCTCTTTGCTGCCATGGGTTGTGAGGGCTGTGTGACATCTGGATATGAGACATTTTGCACAGCTGTGTGTAGGCCAACTGCACATGCCAACAGACCTCATGTGGCCTTGATGCCTGGCCCTGCTGACCCCAGTTCACCCCATCTCATCCTGCTCCCTCATGGGTAGCCCAGGGAACACCAGTGCTTGTCACTCCCTCCTGGTCCTCTCATGGGATGTTGCTGGCTTTAGTTTTTAGTTGCATGGTAATGGCTGCATTCTTAGAGTACATGTGTGACACGCTCTTCATTCCAGACTTGGCATGACCCTGGGAGGAGGTTCTATGATCCTGTTTCACAGATGGTAAAACCAAGCCTGTGTGGAGTTGGCAGAGTTTGCTGGGACTGTGGCTGTGTGGGCCCATCCCCTGCTGACCTCTTACCTGCCTCCACCTGATGGTCTCTGCTGCTTCGTTTTCCTTCTTGTTGAGGCTGCACTTGCTTGGATTCCGTTGAAGTCTGTGGGTGTGGTGGCCAGGCAGAGAAGGTGCTCTCAAGGCTTAGAGAAAGGACTACCTGTGAGCCCCTCTTTGTGCTTAGACACCTGCGGGCGGTGCTTCCTTCCCTGACAGCCTCTCTCTGCTGCATCTGCAGGTTCAGCGTGTTCAGTGGACACACATATTCCAGTATAATCTCAACAGATTCTCCAAAGAGGTTTTTCAGTCATACTCTGACTCAGATACTGACTCACAACCCTGTGCTGAAAGGTGGGTCCCAGGTGCCAAAGTTGCAGAGTCACCCCCCAGTGTGCCTGGGGTGTTTCCCCTTGTTGCTGCAGTGCTGCCCTGACGGGAGACACCACGGGCTCTTGGGCAGCTTCTGTGGCTTGACGGGAGATTGGGCTCCAAGATATGTACAGAGGATTTAATGCTCTGAGACACCTCAAGATCAGAAAGGCCACTTTATTATTAAATATCTTTGATTTGAAAGTAACACATTCTTATAAGGAAACTCAAAGTTAAAGAAGAGTGGACAGAAGAATTGTTACCCATTTTCTCACCAAATAGAAATATCTTTAACATGAAACATTTATGTCCTTTTTTTTTTTCTCTTTAAAAGACCGGTAAGGGGATCTTAACCCTTGACTTGGTGTAGTCAGAACCGTGAACTCCCAGTTGAGCTAACCGGTCATCCCTATATAGGGATCCAAACCTGTGGCCTTGGTGTTATCAGCACCACACTCTCCCAAGTGAGCCACAGGCTGGCCCTTCTCATGGCCTTTTTCTAAACAGAGTTTTACAGGACAGTTATACTGTAAATACCATGATTCTGTTTTAATGTTACTGTATCATAAGCATTTTTTATGCAGCTATGTAGTTTTATTAAAAGTGTTTAATACTTATGTCATCTACCCAATGAATGTCCTGTTACCTTTTATATGACGGACTTTTTCCAAGTTTCCACTCTTGCTAATAAGTCCACCTCCCGAGGGTAGGTGCTGCGGTGGGAAACTGCAGACAGGGTGTGGGGCACAGCTCCAAGGGGTGCTCAGCCCCTCAGTGCCGCCTCATGCAGAGCACACTTGCAGCAGCGCCCTCACTGTGAGGGGTTTGTTGGCGGTGTCAAGTGTAATTGATGCATTGGAAAACAGCAGCCGTGATGGAGAATTACCTGTAGGTAACCAGGCCGAAGGCACAGAGAGTTGATAACATAGAAAATAGTTAAACAGGCACATGGGTGAATTTCACTAACAACTGAAAAAACACAAATTGAAACAAGATAGTTTTTTCACATCGAAGCTGTAAACGACAGCTTTTTGATAATCACCGACTTGCCGTTTTTGTCTGTCTCTCCTCCTGAAGTGTCTGATGCCATTCAAATGCAGAGAGACTGGAGCTTTGCCAGGACCCACCCTCTGCTCAGCACGCTGTTCTGCAGGGTGAGTGTTTGCTGGTGTTGGGACCTGCTGCTGTGCGTTGTGTGTTAGGGATTTAAGATGTGCTGGCTGGTGAAGGTTCTGTGGTCCAAGTCCTTGTGAAACCGACTTCTGTGGACACTGTCTGGGGAGGTTCAGGAGTCTTCAGGGAGACACATCTGTCCATTTGCGGACTGCCGTTCAGAGACCAGGAGACTGAATTGTCACTTGGGCAGAGCCCTCCTCCTGAATTGTCACTTGGGCAGAGCCCTCCTCCCTGAGGTGAGGAGAATTTCCTCCAAGCAGTACTGACCACTACAGAGAGGAGAGAGGCCAGAGTGTCCACTGTTACAACTCCATGCTTGTCTGCATGCAACCACCTCTGTGCCTTTCTGATGGGAAGTGGGAGGTGCTGCTGTCGGCTGTGGGATCAGGAAGTGGGGAACCAGCTTCTATCTGACATTGGTTTGCTTTGACATTGAAGGGAGCGGCTGCTTTCATTTCAGCTCTTTGTGATGTTGAGTCCAGAGGAGGTGGTTGGCCACTTGCAAGAAGTTCTGGAAACACACGAAGTGAACTGGCAGCATGTGCTCTGCTGCCTGTCTGTGCTGGTCGTCTGCTTCCCAGAAGCACAGCAGCTGGTCAAAGGTGTGCTTCCATGGGAGCTGTGTGGTGCTGTTCAGTGTGTGTGCGTGTGCGAGTGTGTGCTGTGCTGGTGTCAGCAGAATTCCAGTGTTTGTGGCTGAACCCATCAGCAAAGCCCTTCCCTGCCTGCCAGAGCCTGTGGCGCCTCCTGTTGGGGCACCATGCCCACCAGACTCTCCCATCCGCACTGACTGTGCCGGGAGTAGTAGAGCAGACTCTGCTTCTTCACTGAAGTCCCAAAGAGTGTGTGTGTGGCATGCTGTGATCATTATCCCATCTTTTTAAAACTGGTGTTTGGGTAAGCACATTCTCCTAACTGGAATGCTTGATTCCCTAGCAGAACTTACATTTTATTTCTGCTGGAAGCCCTGGTGTGACTATGTCATGGTTCTTACGTAGATTGGGTGGCCCATTTGATGGCCCATGCGTTTGAGAGCTACCACCTGGACAGCATGGTCACCGCATTCCTGGTTGTGCGCCAGGCAGTGCTGGAGAGCCCCTCTGTGTTCCTGTCGTATGCGGACTGGTTCAAGGTGAGTCACTGGTGAGTCAGTCACCTGACTGGCTGATCCTCCAGCAGGCCTGGTGCTCTCTGTAATGAGCATGAAGGGACATCAGGAGATCAGCTTTGCTGAAATGGCCCTGGACAAAGCTCCCGGGTGCATCTCTACTGCCCTCCCTGCAGCGTGCGCTGCTCACTGGTGGAAGGCTTCACATCCTTCCCTGTCCAGGGCCTCAGCTGCCCCTTGGTTTCTGCCTCCCCTTCTTGATGGAGCCGCCCTCCCTCTTGTATAAGAAAATTAGTGAAATCAATTAGGAAAGAGTGGAATCAGAGGTGGCTGCTGCTTTTTGAAGAATGTACTGTCTCTCTTTTTTTTTTTTTTTGGCATCTGGTTGGTACTGAGATCTGAACGCTTGGCCTTGGTGTTATAACACCATGCTCTAACCACCTGAGCTAATTGGCCAACCCTTTCATTTTCTTTTAAGTCCCAAAACAAGTCCTGTTTTTCAGGGCATCTGGTTGGTACTGAGATCTGAACGCTTGGCCTTGGTGTTATAACACCATGCTCTAACCAACTGAGCTAATTGGCCAACCCTTTCATTTTCTTTTAAGTCCCAAAACAAGTCCTGTTTTTCAGAGGCTTCTCATATTCTCTCCTTTTCTCTTGTTTTCCACGATACATTAGATGTTCTGACAAGTTCATGCAGCTGTCCACCTAAGTGAGCCTCAGACTAGCCTGGAAAGGGCTTTGAACCTGCAGACCCAGGGCCTATCTCAGACCTGCTGCATCCAAACTCCTGAGGGGGAACCTCTGGGATCCCCTGCCACCCAGTGTGAGAACACATGTGGGGGCATCTTTGGGACATGAGTTTCTCAGCAGCCATGTGTAAAGATGCCATTTAAAAAGCTATCTGGGGCCGAGCCCGTGGTGCACTCGGGAGAGTGGGGCGCTGGGAGCGCAGTGACGCTCCCGCCGCGGGTTCGGATCCTATATAGGGATGGCCGGTGCGCTCACTGGCTGAGCGCGGTGCAGCCAGTCTCAAAAAAAAAAAAAAAAGCTATCTGGTTATAGGGTTTGGGCTTCCAGCCAGCACCTTTCTGGTGGACTAGGTACCTCATGTGGAAAGTTCACCCTCCCCAAGAAGGCTGCCTGTCGCTGCTCCCACCCTGGGGCCCTCTGAGAAGGGCAGGCTACAGAGCTGGGCTGTCTGTCCGATGGGTCATTGCATGATGTACTTTCTCTTTCACTCCTTAAAGTCCCCTCCTCTGCCCTTAGGCTTTTCCCGGCGTGGCCTGTTGGCTTGGCACTCCCATTAAATAGTCGTTTGCTGTGTCCACAGCGAGGTACATAAAACTGATGCCAGAACCCAGCCTGACAGTCATGGCCACTCACGCTTGGGTGACCTGATTTCTGGAGGTGTGCGCTGTCCCTGCTGAGCAGGCTCTGCCTGCTGGGCCTGGTCTGCTCTGTGCTGCAGGCCCCAGTCGACTGGGTCATGGATCAGGCATCTCCCAGGGTTGACGTTGTTCAGATCTTGCGGTGATAGGTGGTTGGGAGAGGGATACTTCTTTTTTTTTTTTTTTTTTTTTTTTTTTTTTTTGTGTCTGGCAACGGATCGCAACCCTCAGTGTTGCCCCTGTACCGGACCAGGACCGGCAACGGGATCGCAACCCTCGGTGCTGCGCCCGCACCTCGCTCAGCCAGTGAGCGGGAACCGGTCTGTATGTGGGATCCGAACCCTCGGCGGGAGCGCCACCGCGCTTCACAAGCGGCGCACTAGCGCAGTGCGCCACCGGGCCGGCCCAGGAGAGGGATACTTCTGAAGTGCTGTGTCAAAGGGTTATTATGTTTTTGTTTGCTTTTCCTTTTACCTTTTTAAATAAATTTATTGATGTATAATTTAAATAAGTGCATCCACTGTAAGTGTGCAGTTCGATGAGTCTTGCTGTGTGTGTGTGTGTGTGTGTGTGTGTGTGTGTGTGTGTTCAGTGTTGGAAGATCTGCCTTCATCTTTATTCTGAAGAAATGTTAGTGTAAATAGACCCACTGATTGCAAGTTTGAGCCCTCTGCGGTCGTGTGGCTCTTAGCACTTCATATTGTGCATTAGACGTAACTTTTTTAATAATGGAAAGAACTGCCTTTTTCCTGGCATGACACTGAGCAACACCGGGGTCCTTGGATGTGTCATGCTAGTGCTTCCAGTAACCCGTAATATCTCCTTCGAGGCTCACTTTTAGTTGAGTGACTGTTGCCCAGAGACAGGAATGGCTCAGTGTGGGTGATTTGGGGAGGCTGAAGAGGCCCCTTGTGCCTGGTGGGAGAATTTAAGGTAAGAACTGGCTAGGGACATGTTGAGGGAGGGAGCCTGTGAGCAGTCTTGGGTCCTGTTTAAATCTTTCACTGACGAGTATTGAGCTGTCTTCCTTATGTTTGGCAAGACAGTTGACTTCTCTGAGCTTTCTTTTCGTGACTGTGTAATCTGCATTTCCCCTTTTTTCTAATGGCTTTTTGTCTGTATCATGATAACATTCCAAAGAATTAGATGATTTTGGCAAAATGCTGTACACTTTCAAAAAGGCTGAGGTAAACCTTCGGTTCAAGCTGCAATTCAGTTTCCATGATGAGCAGCGTTAGTAACTAATTGAGGCTTCCGTGGTGGCTGCACATTGGTGCACGGCGGATGCAGGAGTTTATGCGTTTTGGGATGAGTTGTTCAGTCCACACGTAGGTCCATGATGTTCTCTGCAGGATCATTTGCAATGTATTCAGAGCCAGTGCTTGTTCAGAATCTCCCCTGCCAGGGTCCTTTGGCAGTGGCTGGTACACTCCCTCTGCCCCTGGAGCCCTGGAGTCCCATGCTTGTTCTGTGATGGTCTTGCAATTTCAGGGTCTTGGAGGGGTGGACTCCATGGCTGTGTTTCCTCAGTCGCCTCTCCTGGGGGAATCTTGTCTGCTCGTGGGATGGAGCCCTTCCTTGTTAGGGCAGTGAAAAGCCCCACACCCCCAATCACAGCAGGGTGCCGCAGTCACTGTTCTCCACAGCAGATTTGCTTCTGTCTTAGAGTAAGCTTTCTGCCCTTCTCTTCAGTCTAGGCACAGCCATGATGTGATTAAATGTATGAACCATGATTACTTTCAGTTGTTTTTATTTTTTCAGCAGCAGTTTTCTCTTTACGAGACAGAGACTGTAGCAGCAGCATAGCTATGGCTGAGTTGGCCCCCGTCTGGTTGGTGCAGCCTGTGGGGTTGGCTGCCTGATGAGCAGCGCCTGGCTGTCCAAGCCTCATGCCTGTCTCTCTCCCCAGGCCTCCTTCGGGAGTACACGTGGCTACCACGGCTGCAGCAAGAAGGCACTGGTCTTCCTCTTCAAGTTCTTGTCTGACCTCGTGCCCTTCGAGGCCCCCTGGTACATGCAGGTGAGCATTGGCTGCAGCATCCGTGATTCCTGGTGCTTCCTGTCACCTTCCCCTGGATCTAAGGACTGGCCTGCTCGCCCCCAAGCCTCCTGCAGACCTGATGTGAGCGTGGGCCCAGCTCCTCCCTGCCTGAGCAGCTAGTATTGGTGAAACAGTGCAAACAGTCCATCTGGGGATGGCAGTGTAGATGTGGAGCGAGTGGCCTCACATCTGTCAGGGCAGATGCCAGAGGCCGTCCACATATCCTTGTCCAGGAGATGGGTCCATAACTATGTCACCATGCAATGAAATGCCGCAGGGCCATTCACAAGAGTGAGTGGGTCCAAGTGGTGGCCTGGGAAGAAAGTGATCTGTTGTTAAGTTCAAGGAGAAGAATCTGGAAGGAATACCCCAAACTGCCCATGGTCATTGCTTCCTGGAGTGGAAGAAAAGAAGCAGGACTTCACACTAGTATACCAGTTTGTATTTTTTATATTATTATTATTATTATTATTATTTTTTTTGATGATTGGCTAGTGCAGGGATCCAAACCTATAAAGTTGGAATTTTTTGTAGCAAATCTGTATTAATTTCATGATTAAGAGATGCTTTACTGTTTTTTTTTTTTTTGATGATTGGCTAGTGCAGGGATCCAAACCTGTAAAGTTGGAATTTTTTGTAGCAAATCTGTATTAATTTCATGATTAAGAGATGCTTTACTGTGGCTTTCTTTTTTTATCAGATAACTACTCCCAGCTTTTGTTTTTGGGGGGTGGGTAACTGGAAACTGATTCTAACCCTCTTATTATTAAGAAATTTGCATTACAATCCAAAGAGTGAGTCCACAATAAGGTGGGAAGAAGCACAGGTGGCTGTATGCCCTCCCCAGCTGAGTCCTGAGTTCTGGGTTCTCCTCTGCTGGGTGCTGTTGGGTTTGCAGCTGTAGGCAGCAGTCCTTTAAGATGAAAAGATGCCATCTAGACAGAGCTGTGGACCCACTGGCAGTGTCAGGACAGCCCTCCTGTCCTGAGCCCCCCAAGAGTTGTGCCCCCATCACAGGAGTGAGGGAGAGGTAGATTAAATGAGGGCGAGGGGTTTGGTCACCAGGGGTACCTATGGCCTTCTCTGCCCCGGCCCCCTTCTGAAGGGAAAGTCTCAGGACATGGAGTCTGATGTGTGGAGACCCTCACCCAGGTTCTGCCCACCCCCTCCAGCTTCTGCCCTGGTTGTCTGTGGCTGATTCTCTGACTTCCCTGTCTTCATATGCACATCTTGCTCTGGATCTCCACAGCCTGGCCTCAGCCCTCTTTTCTCTTAACCTGCCACCTGTCGTTGGTTCTTTGTGAACTCGAACTCAGCATGTCCAAGACATCCATGTGTCCTCCTGAAACGTACTGTTTCTAGAATCTGTGTGTCCGTGGTTGTTGCTGTGTCCTTTGTCTCCTCTGACCAGGAGGGGCTGGGGCCTGTCGACATAGCCGCAGGTGGCCAGCTGGCATGGCCTGCTGGGCCTGTGACTCCACTGGCCGCCCCAGCACGTGCAGGACCAGCTTCCTCAGAATTCCTTTTTGTTTTTGCCTGTGGAAGCAGCTTCTACTGTGTGGGTTACTTTTGCTAGTTACTCACCTCTATGTTCACTTGCAAGCCTGGTGAAGGCTGTCTCTCTGCTCGGCATCCCTGCATGCTGGGAGTGAACCGTGGCCCCCTGTCCTCAGGTGCACATCCTCCACCCCCCGCTGGTTCCCAGCAAGTACCGCTCCCTCCTCACGGACTATGTCTCGCTGGCCAAGACGCGGCTGGCTGACCTCCAGGTAAGTCCAGATGCCTATCACACCTGCTTCCTGGACCAGGGTCTGTCTTTGTTCTCATGTTCTCATTCTGTCCCCTCTCTTCAGGTTTCTATGGAAAACATGGGGCTCTACAAGGACTTGTCATCCGCAGGGGACATGACAGAGGTAACATCGCCTTGGGCTGGCCCTGAGGGTCTCACCCAGCACAGGTGCAGTTTTCCTTTCTTTAATCCTGGGTTGAGCATTTCGACCCTCAGTCTTGCTCCTGGTAAAATCCCAAAACATCTTGAATTTTGGTTGTTACCAGTATGGGTGAACTGATTCCAGCTCCCCGGAGAATTGGACCTGTTGTGACCCTTACCACCTTAGAGTAGCCCAGGTTCCACGGCCATGCCAAAGGCAAGCAGAGGCTGGGACGCAGGGCTGTGGCTTATAGAGCAGTGAAAAAGAGGGCTTAAAAACATGATAAAACATCACAGCCTTGAAATGGGAAGAGCCACCTGTGGCGCCACCCTCTGAAACAGCAGTGACATCTGTGAAAGTTGAGAAACCAGGTGTCCTGGAAGATGCCGTCTGCTTTTCTGTGTTGCAGCATATTCAGGAGGTCCTACTACGTGACCCACTTTCTGCCTGCCCTGCTCACACCTCGAGTGGTCAGTATGTGTGTTCATGAGTTTAGGACCAAGCCTGCACAAAACAGAGACGCACCTTGTCTGCTTCACATACTCGTCTCTCTCTTCACAGCTCCCGAAAGTCCCTGATGCCCGAGTGGCTTTTATAGAGTCTCTGAAGAGGTAGGAGAATGTCCGGAAGAGGGCTGCTCTGTTTTCCCAGTGGGGTTTGATAATGTGAAGAACTGTGGTTCTTTTGTAGAGAAATTTATTTTATCACGTGTTTTATTTATAAAATATTGGCTCCAAAATTAGTTGGTTATGATTTTAGAAAGTAAAGTTGTTTGATTCTGAATATCACCATTTAGCATCATTCTTCAATGCACTTTTAGGATGATTGGTCTGGGAATTAAAGAAAGTTCAGATTTTGGTATATAATCATTGTGAAAGCAGGAGGATGGGAGAGCCTCGTGCTGCAAGCCTCGGGGTGGGTCTGGAGACTCTGGTTTGGAAGGAGGAAGTCTCACCCCGGCTCCCTCACTTCGTGGGCCTCCAGCAGCAGGACTAGGCTGGTGCCTCAAAGGTCATCCTTATTGGAAGAAACAGGAGACTAAATGCAGTTTTCCAGCAGAACGTACAAAGTAGTGGGACCTAAAAGAAGACTGAAGGAGCAAAAGTCAGGAAAGTAAAATCAGTTTTGTCAACTTATAATGCACCATTCTCTGGGGCCCTTATTTTTATTTATTTTTGACATAAAACATTTTAAACATATGGAAAAATACAGAGACCAATTTAAAATACCAATTTAAAAAACACCCATCTACCCCCACCCATGTTTTGCTGTATTTGCTTTTCTTTCTTTTTTTTTTTTTTAAACATAATAAAACATTATGGATACAGTTGAAGCCCCTTTTTCCCTCTCCAGGGAAACTGTTCTGAAGTTGGTGTGCAGTGCTTCCTCTGTTCTGTTTCACCACGGAGGGCTGCCATGTCACCCCAGGGCTACGGTTCATGTTGATTGGGAACAAATGTGTGACTGTGCCACTGTAGTGGATTTATCCTTTCCCTATAGGTGCACTCCTAAGTTATTTCCAATTTTATTCCTGTTAACAGTGCTTCAGTGAACCACCTTGAGTATATTTCCATGAAAACCCTTTTGGAATTTTGAGCATAATTTTATTTGTTTTATAGATAAATTTGAAGAATGTCGACTTTATTATGGTATTGAGTTTTTCCTTCCATAGTATATGTTTTTATTTATTCAGATCTTCTTAATAGTGTTTTGTGATATTTTTAAAGAGATTTTTTATGTCTTTAGTTAGACTTACTAGGACTACCTAGATTTTGTTGCTATTGTGAACAGCATGGTATTATTTTCTGTAGAATTTTTTGATTGATCATGCTGAGGTATAGGTACGCTGGTATCCAATAACTCTGCTGAACTTAATTCCAGTAGCTGGTTAGTAGATTTTCTTAGATTTTCTTTATAGGTAATCACATTGTCTACAGGAACAACAGTTTGTCTCTTTCAATTTTTATACCTCTTAATTTTTGTCTTATTGTATTGGGAAGAACTTTTAGTTGAATATGGAATTATAGCTGGCATCTTATTCCTTGCTAAAACAGGAATGCTTCTAAAGTTTTACCATTAATTACGATATTTGCTGTAGTTTATTTTATATATGCCCTTCATCATATTAAGGAAGTTCCCTCTTGTTAATTTGCAAAGGGTTTTTAGTGTGAATTAAGCTTTTCCTGTATTTCTTAGGATAATCATGCTGCTCTTCTTCAGTCTGTTAATGTGATTGATTACACTGATAGATTTTTTCCAATGTTGAACTGTCCTTGCATTCCTGGCATATCCCCTCCTTGGTCGTGGTATTTTGTTTTATAAACTGCTGCATGTGATTCACTGATATCTGGTGTGGGGCTTGTACGTCTGTGTCTGTGAGTCTCCTGTGTGTATCTTGGATGCCTTGACATCAAGGTTTGGTACCTCATAGAACGAATTGGGTAGCTGTGCTGCTTTTCCTGTTCTCTGAAACAGGTTGTATATCCTTCAGGTTTGGTGAAGCTTGGCTGTAAAACTGTCTTCTCTGGAGGCAGAAACTTCTGGCTGACTTACTTTCTTGAATGGTTATTAGTTTAGTCAGGTTTGTAAAAATTCCTTTTTGAGTCATTTTTTAACATATTTCTATAAAACTGTTCATTTCATCTAAGTTTTCAAATTCATTGACGTAGTGTTGTTCATAATGTTTTATTGTGATTTTTAAAAATCAATCTAATCTATACTTTCATTCCTTTTTTGTTTTAATTCTCACTAGTGTTAATTTCGTGGGGTTTTTTTTTATGATTCACTCTTTTTAAAGATTTGACTGTTTTATTCATTTTATCAAATAACCAGTTTTTTATATTGTCATCCCTGCTGACTCATTGTTTTATAACTCTTCTTGTGTTCTAATGAAGGTGTGTAATCAGTATCACCTCTAAGTGTTGCTTTACATAGAACATACAGGGTCACTCAGTTCTAAATATGGTACCATTTGCACTACGATTTTCTCATAATTTATGAGTTAGTTATAAGAAAATTTCATTTTCCAAATATATAGGTTTTTGCCCCTGAACTTTTTTTACTTCCTAATTTTTTTATTGTTATTTTTCAAAATACACACAACATAAAATTTACCATCTTAACCATTGTTCAAGGCGATTAAATGCGTTCATGAAATGCAACCATCCCCACCATCCGCCTCCATGACTCTCCATCTGTAACACTGAAACTCCACCCCCATCAGACTGTAAGTCCCCATTCTTCCCTCCCCCAGCAGCCACCATTCTACTGTCTGTGTCTGTTTTTGATTACTCTAGATGCCTCAGATAAGTGGAATCATCAGGTGGGCTGATTTCACTTAGCACAGTGCTTTCAGAGCTCATCTGTGTTGTGGCAGGTGTCAGGATTTCCTTCCTATTCCTTCCTTCCTTCCTTCCTTCCTCCCTCCCATCCTTCCTCCCTCCCTCCCTCCCGTGACCAGTAACGGGATCGCAACCCTCGGTGTCACACCTGCACCGCGCTCAACCAGTGAGAGTGGGCGGACCGGTCTCTATATGGGATCCGAACCCTCGGCGGGAGCGCCACCACACTCCCAAGTGCCGCACTCTACCGAGTG